TGGTCAACTCCAATTTCAGCTTGGAAAAATTTATGTTTGGTCCGTCTTTTTTTGACCTTTTGTCCAGTTCTAGAGACTTCGGTTGTAACGCCCCAAATTTTAAGAACTTAAATTTGAGGTATTACCAATATCATTTCATATACATACTTGGAGTGGAAAAATTTAATTGGAAATTTGAAACACTTAATAAAATAAAAATGTCATTGAATTTAAAGCATTAAATGGAAATAAAAAAATATTTATTCCAACATAAATATCCATGAATATTATTATTTTTTGAGAACGTTCTTTACTTGGCAACCCGCGCACCGCTCAGCCACCATCTCCGTCGACCGACCTAACTTGAGATGTTAAAAATTGAAGGAATGAGTAATTTATACTCAGTAGGATACGATTAATGGTGCGATCCCGAGTAAAATATTCAATCAGGCATCAAAATAATCATACAGTCATATCATATCTTTAGATTCCGGTAAGAGCTCATATCATATCATATCTTTGGTACCGGATGGCCATTTCATATCACATCATAATCATATTATATCATAACTTTTATGAGTATAACATTTATCAACATGAAGAAATAAATTAAACGGGGCTAACCACTTGCACCTTGTAATCCTACCTTGATTGAATAAAACACTTGTTGGAAGAAAAGATATACGTCCACAACTCCTCGTCTCTATAATCGTGTCAAAATGTGTGCTTCTAAGGGAAAAATTGTCCATCTATTTATAGCCAACTTAGAGCACTAAAATTTAAGGTAGACAAAAATCATTCCTTAAATCGTCACATCTTAGTCAAACATTCATCTCTTTAATTGGTCCAATCAATCAATGTTTACCCTTCTTATATGCACACGTGCAATCAATCATAAAGATCAGAAAGGTAACTGAATTATTTAATCGGCCCAATGAGTCAAAGTTTCTATAATCACAGGGCAACTTACCATTTCTTTTAAACCAAGGTCAACTGACACATTGGCAGGACAAGGTCAAATGACTACAAATTTTCCTTACTTTTATGGACCCTTTCCTACTATACGTGGTCGGCTCAAGATTAATTCACCAGTCTTATCAATTCCCAAATCAATGCATTTTTAAAGAGAATCTACCTTTTTCCACTATATATATATATATAATTTCTAAAAATTTCGGGGTGTTACACGAGTGCTAGTGGTAGGGTTACAATGGCTAGGTTGGGTGAGGGAGAGGTACCTGGGGATTTCAAAGCTAGTTAACGGACTATGGGCGAAGGTCCCATAGATTACAAGGCTGGTTGGGGGGGCATCAAACATACCTTCTACAATGACCTTTGATAAACTCACCAGCCTTAGGGAAAAATATTGCATACCCCATTACATAGACTTTCTCGTCCCTAAGGCCCATCAATGTGCCTGTTATCTAAAGTCGGGATGTGTGACTGTCAGTGAATTCCTGTTGAAAGCAAGAATACGTCTATTGTTTTACCCCTTCTTCTAGATAATGCTTCGATGCTTCATGTTAGCTCTTACTTAACTTTTGCTAAATTGGTGGAGCTAACTACTTGGGGCTACTTTCTCTGGAATAAAGTTTTCCTCAGTGAGGACATGCCTCTACATGTCGTCCAGACCATTTTCCAACCCAAATGAGTCTAAGAGGTAGTATTACTTAACCCCATGGGGAGCTCATGCCCCGTTCATGGTGGCCTTCTCTCTTCCATCAAGGGGTGGAAGGAGTCCCAGTTCTGGGTTAGGAAAAGTGCCAAATGGTTGAGAAAGATTCAGCATCAGCTTACACCATACCAACCCAATACTCTAAAGCCTGTGAGTGTTTAGCCATATTTTGATTTGCTTTCTGCTTTCTTAACTATATTTAACATTTAACTGCTCCTTTGCAAATTCAGGTTCGTACTTTAAGCTCGAGAAGCGGAGTAGGACGTGATTGAGGACATCTACAAGCATCCTTTAAAGCTAAGGCATTTCAGCCACTTCATCGATCAAAGCAGATACTTCATCGACTTTGGCTTGATGGCTTTCAGGGGTAAGGATTAGGCCTCATTTGTCCCTATTATTTATCATATTAGTAGTTTCTGACTTTATTTTTGTTGCTGACAGATAACTTTAGAAAGAAGAAGTATCCGACCCCTGAAATGGCATCGATCTTAAGGCTCACCTCTACAGTAGGAGGCCATGCCTTTGAAGCTTTCATCTAGTGGCACCAAACATGTGCGGGGCAAGTTAAAACCCCTCAGCAAAGAAAGTACTAAGAAAAGCGTAGAAAAGGTGCCTCCTAGGGTCGAAAAAAGTAAAAGAGATAAAGGTAAGGGGTGGTCGAGGAGCCTCTTAAAAAAAGGAATCTATCTCACAGCAGCTACAGCTCTGGCAAGTTTGGCACCATAGTTGATCAATCCTCTAAGCTAGCAGCGCCCTCTGCTCCTAATCTCTTGGAGGCCTCCATGAAGGCAGTGCAGGTGAAGGTCGTGCACAGGGCCAATGAAGAGGTCAAGGAAAGAGGAAAAGTCTGGCCTCGAGGCCACAGGGAATGCTCCAGCTTTGAAGACTCCAAGGAAGTTTGGAAGATTTTTGGCAAGACAGAATGAAGAGATAGCCCCAACAGTGCTGGAGATGCTACCACCAGAAGTCCGTACTGAAACTACAAATTTCTGTAAGTTCTGGACTGAGAGATGGTAGCTGCATGTGTCCACCTATGATGCAGTAGACCCAATGCTGTGAGCGGGTAGATATCTTTGTAGCAGAGGCCCTAGGCCTCAACACCACGTGGGTGTCATTGCCACGTGGATAGCAGGGGCCCTACGCCTCAGTGCCACGTGGCCATGGCACAACTAACTATTAATCAAGAGTCCTATTTGAATAAAGTGATAACCAAATTTGGTATGAGATTTGCTAAGCCAATCAATATACCATTAGCTATGCACATGAATTTGTCATCTGCACAATATCCTAAAATTGAAAAATAAATGCATGAAATAAGTAATGTTCTCTATGCTAATGCCATTTGGTTTGTGATGTACTCTATGATTACTGCGTGATCGAATTTTGCATATACAGTTAGTTTCTTGAGTAGATTTATGTCTAACCTAGGTAAACTTCATTAGACTGCACTTAAATGACTGTTAAGATACCTGGAACTTTAATAAGAGGATTAGTGTTTAAAAAGGGAAATGAAAAGTTAGAGATTAAAGGATATGTAGATTTTGACTTTGTGAGAAATAAAGATCAGAAGAAATCTACCACTTCATAATTCTTTACTCTAAGTGATAATTGTGTCACATGGAAATCACAGTTGCAACCTATTGTCATACTCTCTAGCATTGAAGCAGAATATGTTGCATTAGCTAAAGCTGTAAAAGAATACAAGTGGCTGAAAGGCCTTCTATGCGAATTAAATTACTTGAATGATAATGTTATGATGTTTACTAATAGACAAAGTTCATCGACGTTGTGTAAAAATCATGTTTATCATGAACGCTCTAAGCATATTGATGTAAAGTATCACATCATTAGGGAGAAGTTAGCTTCTGATGATTTTATTTTGCTTAAAATTGCAATTGATGATCCTACTAATATAATCCAAGGTGAAGATTTGTAAGATGGATCACTTAAATCCACTTGGCACATGATTATTGTGGACCATAGATTAAATCCAACCATATCCAATGGTTGGATTTGATCTTGTGGTCACTTTCTATCACTAGTCATGTCACTTGTTATTGGTTTTTGAATGTTGAATTCAAAATGTTTTTGGCTCTATATTTACATTTGCACTCACTTGTTTGCATTTGGACTTGGAGAGTTGGAAGACAAAGAGAGAAAATATTGAGAGGAGCTAAGTGAGAGAGATTCATATCTCCGATGAAACTCTTGGTTGCCTTCAGCAGTTCTCTCGGTATATTCATTACCATTCCCGTGGACGATGTTGTATGATTCGGTGTGACACAAATCTAAGCTCAACATCATAGGACATTCCATTAGTAGCATTTTTCGCATTATAGTTGTAAAAATAATTTATTTGTAAGAACTTAGTACCCAAAACCGGCAGCCTATTTACTGATTCGCAGTCACCAAGGGGCTGGAACTCGATTACAAGCATGGACTCAACCAAATAAAATGTTGCTTACTTCAAATTGCCTAGTTATGAGATGGAATTAAATTTAAGCACCAAGAAATTCGAAATCACCAAAGGGGCATGCAACCTGGAATCTGTCTTCAATTAGAGCCAAGTTAAGAACAGAACACGTACGAGGCTGGACAAAACCCACTAGAAACTGTCTTGAATCTAGAAACTGAATCCGACAAGCACCACAATCTCAAACTGAATTCGAGCAACACCAAAAAGTGAAATTCTTCTAAGATAATAAATTGAATCTCGGCAGATTTTACAAAATCCACAATGGAAGGTTTGACATTACCAAGTTATGAAGGTAAAATCGAACAAAGATCAATAAGCTTAAATGTAAAAGAAGCAAATAAAATAAGTGTTTCTTTCACTAAAATTAAGAGTCTCTCTCTCTCTCTAACACCTTACATTGTGAGTGCTTTTTTTCTTGCCTTCTTTTTTCCTAAACAAAGTGCATACTCAGTTTGAGTTTTTAGTTGCTGTTTACTACTACTTTATTTGCATTGCATAGCTAGCTATAGATAATACACAACTTCGTCCATTTATCATTTCATCCAAACAATTCCCACTAGTTTTAAAGAGCAATTTGTGTACCTTCTGTAAGATTTAAATAAACTTCCACCTTATATCAGAGCTTATTACCCTTGTGAACTACTACACACCATGGCGAGGGGTACATTTAACAGCACATTTCTTGCCAAAATGCAGGCCGTTTGATGATATTTGAACTTTGGTTGACAAGGAAATCTATTTCTCAAAAGAAGTTTTTTTTTTTTTTTTTTGGTCACAACTGCAAAATCACAACTGCAAAAACAGGTATTTTCACAGAATTAACATATGAAACGAAGGACCATCTCACACATGCAGATATGGCAATCAGAGTTCTGACTTGAAAAGCTCTCATATATGGCTCTAACTGTTGCATTTGTGTATATATCATAAAAATATAACTCCTGTCGCTTTAGGAACCCATTACATACATTTCTCATTACAACCCAACAACAGACAAAGCCGACCCCAGACTAAGTTTCAACATCACCAGCAACTTTTAATAGTTACAGTTAAATTTTCCATATAACAAGATGATCAGGAGACAGCTGCTCTGGATGACAATTTAGGCTTCAAAGCAGAAAACTTCCCAGTTATACTCACTGGCAGTTTAGAATAACTGAAAAAATAGACTTGTAGATTTGTCACCAAATGATCTGAGATCCACAGGTTTCACCAAAGCTCGGCACAAAGGACATGTACGTTCTCTCTCAAACCTGAAAGCAGAATATAGTCAGGTACTCAATGTGGAAATGAATAGTAACGGCCTGTTCGGAGAAGTTTTTGCTGTTTTGCTTTTTCTAGAAAAGCATTTGTTAAAGCTTTTCTAGTAAGACAAAGCATTTTCACTTAACAAGACTCAAAACTACTACTTAGTCTCAGAAACGACTTTTTGATTTTCAAAAGCCATGCCAAGCAAGCTCTAAAACTCGTAGAAGGAGAGGATTAATTTCTTTACTTTTTTCTTTAGAAACTGAAAAAATACCAAAGAGGAAGTGCATATTTTGGATATTTCAGCACAGGATACAACCCAAAATCCTAACATCAAATTTGAAAAATGAAAAATAAGCAAGCCATATATGTAACAAAATTACTTTGAAACATAGACAAGCCAACTTGATAGCAATATGACAAAAGTGGAGGGAAAATAGAGCTGATATCAAGAATGTGGGAATTGATATAGCATTCGCTTTAGCTTTTAGCAGTTTATCAACTACTTACCTTACTGTGCAAATCTATTTAGCCTTATATTTGGATTGTAACATTAAGGTACATGCATATTAATTATCTCTTGAACCTTGCTCTAGGAAAGCAGCATTAAGGGTGCGTATGGTACACCATACAGGATTAGGGTGGTTAGGTGTAGGATGAAAGTTCTGTGTTTAATGGTGAAACACCGGCATTAAGGGTGCGTATGGTACACCATACAGGATTAGGGTGGTTAGGTGTAGGATGAAAGTTCTGTGTTTAATGGTGAAACGCCATATTGGAAAAGTGTAGAAGTATTTAAAAATAAAAATTTATAACAATATTTTTAGCTAAGCTTAAAAAAAGTAAAGTTACTTAATAAGTAACTATTTACAAACATGTTTTCTTGAAAACTTGCCTGGATAACTCACTTTTCTTTATTTTAAGTTAAAAATTAATGTTTTTCTAAGATGAGCTTAAAAATAAGATGTTACATTTAATAACTTCTTTGTCTACAGTAATGTTTGGAACTTGCTTTTTAAGTAAGAAAGTTTCTTTTTATAAGTACTCTTAAAAAAAATAAAAATGTAAACTAACATTTGTCCACAAACATCTTTGGATAACTTTTCTCCTACTCTTACGTAAAAAGGTTACTTTTTTTTTTTTTTTTAAAGCAAGCATAGGCCTCAAATGGCACTTAAGGCATGAGGCATTCAATGGAAGTTTTAGATGAGACAGGACTTCAAGCGTAAGCCTCAAAAATGTTTTTATGAACAATAGAAAGGCACACAACCTCCATTTGACATTCCGATGGGCTACCACACCAGCAATAGATTTCAATCATGTACATCATCCAGCATGAGTTGAGACCAGAAAATTTTAATGATGTTTCAATTCTTAATATCTATTGGCCTAAGCACATCAAACTTCTAATGACTTCTGGTTCAGGACTTCGTAAATTCACCTATATGTTTCCCCTGCATACATTTAAGCTTCAAAGGAAAACTACAATTAATATTAAGTGTGACAAACTTTTAAGTCTTGAACAATCAAATACAGTATAATATTTAAAATGGGTATCAGGTTTTTCCAGCTCTCCAAATCCTCATTCTCTGCCTTCAGCCAAATATTAATGAACTTCACTGATCTAATTTTTCAACAACTATAACATGAAGGGCCTCCAAGTCTACAGCAACCAGTAAGTAATACATCATATCCTCATCTTCCTTCTCAGTCTCACAAGCATAAAGAATTATCCATATTCCCTTGGTAAGATGTTAAGCTGTCAACTGCTATTCAAATTTTAGATCGCGTTTAACCACCCATTCTGTTGCTTACTGTCATCATGGCAGGAAATAGAAATTCTTAACAAATTTAGAGTCAGAAAACTAACCATTCAGACACACAATCCTCACAAAATATGTGTTTACAGCATAATAAGATTGGTGCGTGCATATTTTCCTGGCAAATGGCACACAAATCCCCTGCTGCATTAACCTGCATTAGATTACATGAATATATTGAAAAAGTTGCCTTTAAAAAACTCAAAACACTAGTTCAGGCATAAACCATTAAAGCAACGAATGAACATGGCACTAAATTGAGCACATGACATGGGGCCTAAAGCAATGGTTGCAATAAATTGACCAAAATGCAGCAATGAGACCATGCTGCAGGTGCAACAACAAAATGAAACCACTGGGACTGCCAAGAGCTCATTGGCAAGGATAACAGGTATTGCAGATACCATTTTCAGGTCTGATTAAAAATGAAATTTTTCTTTAAACCTTCTTAAACAACGCAAAGACAAAATCAGCACATGAAATCAATGAGCAGAGTTGGGGTAACTAGATCACCTGTTCAGATGTTGCATAAGCTCCATAATGGATATCTTTACACGATAATGCTTTCAAGGCAGTAAAGAAAGATTGAACCTAAAAATACAAACCAGAGAAATGCAAAGCATCAAGGCCTTGCATAAAGTACTTCAATAGCAAATTCCAAAAATAAGAACAAAATAATATGCTATGTAAATATACCCCCAAAAAAAAAAAAAAAAAAAAAAAAAAAAAAACAATGCAAAGCAGAACCATGAACAGAAAGACACTCTAATGACTAACATGAGTTATTACCTTCTCAACAATAGATGTGAGTTTGAAAGTCAAGTATAACCCAGTCATCAGTGATGAGAAAAGGCTTCCATAGTCTTTGTTCAGAAAGAAACGATACCATACAGGAGCTGGCAGCAAAGCACGGTAAAGCAGCAGTAGGTACTCAACCAAAGTCAGCATTTGACCCTGTTAATTACAAATCTCCTTATCAGATGACAATCTCAAAGAGCACTAAACATCATAATTTACCAAAATCTTTGGCATAATTATTCATAGTACAGAAACATACCTGTCTACGGTAGTTTCGGCCTCTGCTGTTCTTGTAATGCAACAATAGAAAGCACTTGAAGATCATACCAGCCTGACGGACCAGAGTATCTGGGGAATGAATCGGATTCGATAAATTAGTTGAAACTGCAAGCAAATGACTCTATGCAAAAGAAGAAAAATTACAATGACTAAATCACATGGACACACACCGTTCACCATGATAATGAATATAGCATGCCAGAAAGGTGGTATAGCCTTTGGTGGAATCATCAACAATGGAAATAGAAGATCATCACTCCAGTACCACCAGTAAACCCCAACCACATGAACCACGAAGAGAATAACAATGCCAATGAGAACAGATATTTTCCTCTCACCCTGCAGAAATTTAAACGAATTCTTGCTTAACACTAAATTTTATGAAAATACAGACCAAAGGAAGGCTTCAGATTTCTGGTTCAGCAAATCACTCCTAAAAAAGGATGCAGATATATAGGGTATCTAACGGAACCTTAAGTGCTGTCTGTTTCCGTAAAAAATCATTTGACTTGAACATTACAGCAGAAATCCAAATGGTAACAACGAAACCTGCAAATGTTGCAATAAATCAAATATAGATTCTGAATATAATAATATTATAATAGTACATCGTCAACGCAAAATTTGAAAAAACGAAAGGATATGAATCCACAACCCCAATAAATTTACAAAACGGAGAGCAAAGTGCCACCTAAAAATCTAAGAAAAGCAAAACAACGTTTTCAATTGGCTTGTTGGTGGCTTGGAAGCCATCTTAAACAGAAAATCTAGGATAAACATTATAATGACAGTAAAACCATACACGAAATATAAACCGCAAGGGGAGAAATATGTAGCAAAAGGGAAGCATCCTCCTCAACAAACAAAATGAAAACACTTGATCTTCTTTCCCCCGCGTTTGAAGCCCACAAATATGACAATGTAGCAATTTGATCTGTTTGGATATGAAATTCAAATGCCAAAGGGAAACAAAAAGGGAAAAAATAAAATTAAAAAAAAATAAAAATCTCTAGTTATCTCCATTGTTGTACAACATGCCAGCTGCCTGTAAATTTTATAGATGTAGGTGGGAGTAAAATAATTTTACGGACATTCCTTCCCATATGTGCACGTGTTATCCCTTATTAATTAGGGTAATTGAGCAAGAACTACTTTTATTTCCTTAAATCTTTATTTCGAAATATAGAAAATGAAATGGATTTCATAATTATGTGACTAAGCTTTTTCAGCCATTTAATTCCTATATAGCCAACTCTACATGATTATCAATTTACTCGCAGTTATTCACTCTAAATTAATATGTATGAAATGGTTGCCCATGGCAAAACCTAAAAAATAATAGTAGATGCCCCCACATGCACTACATAAACACGGATGGCATACAGTGATAATACTTAATGGTCTCGGACTTTTACAGGATATTTTAGTCAGGATCAGGAGAGAAAAGAACCTTGCAAGTGCTGCCGAACAAAAACAACCAACAGAAGCAATGTAAAAGGGAGGACCTGCTCGATCCACCGAGCAGCCTGCTGTATATCGTATCTCTGGTAAGAAGACGAATCCCTGTCATTACCCTCAACTCCCTCAGCAGCCTCTGGATTACCACTTGCATTCACGGACAACAAAACTCCTCCTCCTGCCTCGCGATCATCCCTCAAATCCAATTGACTCTCCAATGACGATGACACTGAAACAGCAGAGCTCGAATTTAAAATCGGCTGCACAAAGGCTTCATTTTGCCCACTCAGCTGGCCAACTGTCGGTGATGAAGGCAACACATTCCCCACCCTATCATGCTCATGTTCACCAGCACCTATTATTCTAATGGAAACTTCCCCTGCACCACTGCCCACGTTGTCTGCTGGGGAGACTGCAGTGTCTTCAAGACGCAGCCGCATGTGGTCTCGATAACCAACAGAGGGCCCAGTGTTCAACAAAGCATCGGATTCTGACTGAATGGACCTGGTCCTAATAACACCAGTGTATTCCAACAATGTAGACAGCGGCAATCGTAGAATACTAGAAGCAGTTAAATTCATTCCGTGTCTTCTAGAATGAGAGCTGGTTGTGGAAGAAACACCTCTGTAAGAATCCGAATTTCCGCCGGACGCTTCCATTTGAGTCGATGCCCTAACCCTAAACCTAAGCCCAATCAAGAATTACATACAGAAGGGTCAAACTATATACAACTGGAGTAAACAACGCATAATCAACATAATTTATGATGGATGAAGGGATTGTGAAAGATGAAGGGATTATGAAAGAACGTAATTATACCTTGAGGATCGAAACTCCGTGGATGATCCTTTCGAGTCAATAAAAGGAAAGATGATTCATTGAAACAGAAAACCCCAAAAATAATGTAAAACAAAATGGAGATGAAACGGAGGAAATATCAAATCATAATCCGAATAATCACAGAAAATGAGGGTTGGAATGAGGTGGAACCACCAGTATTATCGTTGCATCGAGGCAGAAATTAGAAGCGGACGAGGGTGGTTCAATCGGCGTTTGGTTTTGTGCGTCTCTCTTCTCCTCCTCTGTTAGGTCCTTAGATTGGCATTTGGAAGAGCGCGAGAAGAAGAGAGAGCAACGGAAATTGAATTGAATGAGATACAAGTCCTCTTGTGTAATAATAGTGGCGCGGATGAAAGGTGTGAACGGGCGAACCTCCACCTGTAACGTGAATCCACCTCCGCACCTCTTGCGGGGTGGAGAGACCGGCTACTAAGGTGTATTTGGCAAAGCTTATTTGGACTCAATTTTTTTGACATTGTTTTCCTCAAAATTTAGCCACGTTACCTTTGTGTAGTGTTATGAATATGATGCATCACCCCAAAAGGGAAATCACTTCTAACCCTAAATTGAAAGTTCACACATCATCCATGGAAAAAAATTGTTTTCCTCAAAATATAACCACATTACTTTTGTGTGTTGTTATGATGCATCCCCTCAACATGGTAGCCGTCTTCCAACTGGTAGCATTAGAAGCTAGCCTAACCTCAAGAAAGCGTTCTTGAATCAACACCTGACAAGTAAGGAGGGAAAGGCCCTATCCAAAGGCTATAGGATATGAGGCAGCAAGCTAGTGAAACTTTGAAGAGCTATTTGGTTAGGTTCACAGATGAAATGACCTACTATGCACAAGTAATTGATAAGGAGGCTCTATCAACCCTAAGAGGAGGCCTCAACATGAACTTCCTTTTCTGGAGAGATGTGCTGAATCAAAATTCAACTACCTGCGATGCCTTGATAGAAATGATGAGAATCAAGATAATCAATGAAAAATTGATCGATCATCGCGACCAAACTGCTTTGGGGCTTCCACCCCCATAAAGGCAGAGGCGAGGCCCCTTATCACACTTGGTAAGCTAACAATGGACCCAGACTGAACAAACAATCACCCCTACTTCGGGCCAATCTTTAACTACTGCCACTCTGAACGCATTACCATCTTTGGCCTATGATGAAGTTGAACCCAATGCACAAGCTCGGATGAACCAACTCAAGGGTAGAGAAAGGGGCAATGAGCCTAGAATTAGGTCATATTGCGCTTATCACAGAACTCACAACCATAGCACCAATGACTGCATGTCGAGGCCATATCACCAAGAGCTAATGGACTAGCGTAATGATAGAAGGAATGCACGCAGAGACCGAGGGGACACACCCCAAGGGAGGCGAGAGCAAGAGCCTCGACACAAGGAAACGGAACGTATGGAAGGAGACCAGTCCCCTGGCAACAGAACGATGAGAATGTGGGAAGACCCAAGGATGCTCGAAGGCAAAGGAGAGAACCCCACGTTGATGTAAAAAACTTATCCATCAGGGAAATTGATACAATAATCGGGGGCCCACATATTGGAGGAGAGTCCCGAAATGCCCAAGAGAATTATGCCAGGAAGGCCAAAGACCCCCAATGATGAGCTATTTGGTTAACAACACTCCTCGTGGAACCCACACCACACTGCTAATCACATTTACACAGGAAGAGACCATTGGTGTCCACTAACCACATTGTGATACTTTGGTGGTAAGAGCCATTGTGGCCAAAATAGCTTAAATTGCATGCTCATTCTTTATCAACATCTTGCTTGGGACAACTTATGATAAAATGCATATCAGCCATGGCAGGGGCAAACCACACTGAACAAACTTTAGGCCTTCACATCTATCCACTATTTATGCACGAAGTTCCCAACTGAGTGAAGCATTGCAGCAGTTCAAGGAGATCAAATGGGCTCAAGAAAGTGTTACCTCAGTTCGTTATGAAAGTCCGAGCCCCATACTACGAATATGATCCACTTGGATACAGTGATGCTCGACGCACCTGTAGAAGGTTCGACCCCTGAAGAAAGGGAAGACGTTGAAATAATAGATACCCTCACAAGAGCCACCCCTGAACAATGGGTAATGGAAATAATCTTGGATCCCAGAATAAAAGAGTCAGACTCATAGGTCATCCCGGTCGAGGAATTGGAGTCTTTTCCAGTAGACCTACAGGATCTCATGAAACACCACGGGTAGGGAAGGGATTGAGGTTGGGAGATAAACAAAGGCTAAAGGATTTCCTCAACAACTTAGATTTCTTCGCGTGGAAGCATAGAGATATAGTGGGCATCGACTCCAAGGTTAGCTGCTACCATCTTAACATTAATCCTAAATTTACTCATCACCTACAAAAAAGAATAGCATTGAACCCAGAACGGTATGAAGCATTGAAGGAGGAGGTACAAAGGCTGGAGGATAACGGATTCAACCAGGAGGCAATCTCCCCAAAGTGAATATCTAATCCTATCCTAGTGAAAAAGCATAATGGCAAATGGTAGGTTTGCATCGACTTTTCCAATCTTAACTAGGCATGCCCGAAAGATAATTTCCCCATCCCAATAATCGATCAGCTCGTGGACCCTACTGTAGCCTATGAGTTGCAAAGCTTCAAAAATTAATCATTTATTATGGATATGGGGTTCTACTGGTATAAGATGATGCCTTTCGGATTCAAGAATGTTGGGGCAATGTATCAAAAGCTAGTTAACGGGATGTTCTCGAACCTCATTGGCAAAACAATGGAGGTGTATGTAGATGATTTGTTTGTGAAAAACCTAAACCCTACAAACCATACTGAACGCCTATAGGAGGCTTTCGAAATCTTAAGAAAGCATTGGATGAAGTTGAACTCATTGAAGTGTGCCTTTAGTGTAGCCTAGGGGAAAATTTTGGGCTACATGATCAATCAAAGGGGAATAGAGGAGAACTCAAACAAGTTTAAAGCTCTGCAGAATATGAGATCCCCTAGTAAACCCAAGAAAGTGCAGAGCCTAACCGGTTGGCTTGTTGTTCTAAGTCGATTCATCTCGAAAGCAACAGAAAAATGTCTCCCATTTTTCAAAATCATTGAAGGAAGAAATAAATTTCAATAGAATAAGGAGTGTGAAGTAGCTTTCCAAGGGCTGAAGAAGTACTTAAGAGCAGCCCCCTCCTCTCGAAACCCAAAGAAGGAGAAGCTCTAATATTATACTTGGCCATATCAGCAGAGGCTATAAGTTTAGTACTTGTGAAAGAAGAGGGTGGCACACAGCTACCAGTTTATTATATGACCAAGGCTCTCTCACCAATAGAGTCGAGGTACACAAATATGGAGAAACTTGCCTTCTTCCTAATGATTGCTTCCAAAAAGTAGAGGTTCTATTTTCAGGCCCACAGCATATAGGTGCTGACGAGCCTTCCACATAAACAAATACTACAAAAGCTGAATGCAACAGGAAGGTTAATAAAATTGACAATCGAACTGAGCGAGTTTGATATCTTATACAAACCAGGGGCTTCAGTGAAGGGACTAGCATTGGCATATTTTATCATAGAGTTTGCCGAGGCTTAAGACATCAACATGGATGTAGAGTCGTCGGATGCCCGCCCTAAAATGTGGAACCTGTTTGTTGATGGATCTTCTGGCGAAACACGTTCAGGAGCTTGAAAATTTTTGGTGGGCCCTGAGGGGCATAAACTCAACTGTACCATCAGATTCAGTTTTCAAGCCTCCAACAATGCAGCAGAGTACGAGGCATGTTTGCTGGCTAGCCTCAGGCTCTCAAAGGAGATGCAAGTAAGACGGTTATTGTTTAGTTATGACTCGCAATTACTAGCTGGCCTCAAGCTCTCAAAGGAGATTTAGCTGCAAGAGACAAAAACATGGCATTTTATCTGAAAAAAGTCACGGATCTACTCCCCTATTTTGAAAGGTTCGAATTGACTTGAATCCTAAGGATTGAGAATACACATGCCGATGCCCTATCGAGGTTAGCCAACAGCAAAGATTCAGAGCTACTCAAGGTCATCCCAATTGAGCATCTTCCTAGGCCTTCCATATCCAAGGGAGACGAAGTAATGTGGATCGAATAGAACCTTCTTTGGATGCAGCCAATCATCGCTTATCTTAAGGATCAAACGTTGCCGAAAAATAAAGAGAAAGCCCACAAACTTAGGCACAGAGCCGTCCATTATATCCTTCAAGATGTAGTGATGTCAATGGACTGAACCGTGTCAGCTCGGTCCTTAGCCTTACGAGCTCGGCTTGCGCTCGTGACTAGCCGAGCGCATGGCTCATTTTTTAACGAAAACAAACTGAGCCGATCTTGAGCTTGGCTCGTTAATTTTGGCGAGCTCATCAAATTTTATTTTTTTTAAAATACAGAAAAATACAAATAATTTAATGAAAACACTTTTTAAAAAAAAATAAAAAATGTTAAAAAATACAAATAATTTAATGCATTTTCTAAAAATAATTTAATGAAGACACTTTTTTTATTTCTATCATATTGTAATATTTTTTATAAAGTATAAAATACTTATATAATGAAGACGAATTATTATTTGAAATACATTTACAAAAAATACATTCTTTTCGATTTCTTTTTAAAATAGATAAAATGTAAACTCTCCTTCTTTATCCGAGTTTGGGACCAGCTACATCAATTTTAAGTAGGCGGAGTTAAAAATTATACACAAACAACTTGTTGTATCGTATACAATTTTTTAAAGAAAATTAAATTTAGCGATTAAAAGATAAGAAAATTTTGATTAATATAATTAAATCAAATATCGCTTACCTGACGACATGCAATTTCAACGTATTTATCTTGTAATCGAAAATGAGCGTCCTACCAACCTTTCCCGCACATTAACGCTTCCAAAACATCTTCTTTCAGTCGACTCCTGACATCGATCAAAACCCCTTTACCTGCATTAAAAGTAAACTTCAAAACAACAGTGTTAACCGGTGGTGTCAATATATGTTTCGCAATTGCATAAACAATTGGTCAACGTCTTTCATACTTTCGTCAGAATTCAATTACCTCTTCTGAACTTTTTTTAATTGTTCTATCTATTGGCATATTATGATTGAAGTAATCAATTAATTTGACAAGCATCTCATTTTGAGTTGCAGTAGAGGTTTGATGAGCTGCAAATGTAGATGACATGGTACTAGATGAACACATTGCAATTGCATCATATCTAAGTGTATTAATGTCTTGAAATAAATTCATTATTTCAGTATCATCTTCTTCAATTTCAGCCGAAAGAGTAGGGGCAGAGTGTACCCGATTAACATTCGCACTCATTCTTTCCACATATAAATCATATATTCCACATAATGTTTGCTCTAAATTCTTATAGGTGATAGGTGTATCAAGCATTAAGGCTTTATTGATTTGATCAATTACGTATTTAGTTCCCAAAATATTA